TTCTTATACAGTTACCGAAGACTCCTAATTAAAATTTTAAATTTTAGCCAGGAGTGGTGGTGGGACAGGCACACCTGTCATCCCAGCCCTCTGGGAGGCTGAGACAGGAGGACTGCAAGTTCAAGCCCAACCTGGACAACTTAGTGATTTAGCAAGACCCTATCTTCAAATCAAAAAAAGATGGGATGGTGCTCAGTGCAAAGGTCCTGGGTGCAATCCCAGCAGTGCAAACAACTGTTTTAAATTCTACAATTTCAGGGAGGAAACTCCTTAGGCTTGGCTGAGCAGGATCCTGTGTGTGCAGATTAAGCCTGACTGTAACTCTGCTGGCTCGGGGATTAGGGAATTAGGAAGACCCGCTTCTGGGTGTGTCTGGAGGCTCACACAGCTTTGCAGCTTTGGAAACTTGGTCTTTCTCCTTACCCGTCCTGTCTGCCGCGATGGTCCTGCCTGGACTGAATCCCCAGTCCTCCTGTAAGGTCTTTCGGGTGTTGTGTCCCAGCCACAAGAAGGTGATGATACATCTGGGAGAAACTATGAAGTCATACTGAGTTAACCTTTTCTTGTCTGTGTTTTGAGATAAGGTCTTGTGGCTACATAGTTTAAACTGGCCATGAACTCATGACAGAGCCTAGCCTGGCCTCAAATTCTTAGCAATCCTCCTGCCTCAGCCTCCCAAGTACAGGGATGACAGGTCTGCGCCACCATGCCCAACTCCAATCACAAGGATGACGAGAGATAGGTTTTCATGTTGCTTACTAAGAATCTGACCTAACCCTTCCCTGCAGTGCAGTTTATTTGAGGGCTGTTTTCCCAAGGTAAACAATGAACTGAATTGCAAAACCCACCTGATTGTAGTTTGGGTCTCTGTTTTGCTCTGCAGTTTCTCATGGACGTGCCCAGAGGATAAGCATCACAGTGGAGACCACAAGACAGCACAAGGTAGAAGAACTACTTCTCTGGGACCCAGCAGGGCAAAACCTCCAGCGGCGCTGGCTGGGCCTCTCAGCCCCGGGAGATTGAGCCTGCTGCCTGACATGCACCCCGCCAGTGCAGCCTGTCTGTCCTGTGTACCGATACGCTGCTTTCTTTCTCTTCTACTTTATTAATACTATATCGGGGTTTTCTATAGTCTTCGATCCAGCAGTACCATTTTTATTATCAGTTTTTTGAGGCAGAGTCTACCTGTGTAGTTCTATAGCCCAGACTGGCTTCAAACATGCCGAAATCTTCCTGCCTCAGCCTCCCAAGTGCTGGGATGACAGGTGTATGCCACTAGGCCCAGCATCTCTTCTACTTTTGTGGGGAGATTTTCTCTTTATATTTTCCCAACATACTATACAGCAATGGGGAAAGGGAAGGACAGCTTTTCAATAACTGAAGCTGGATCAGTTGAGTATCTATATATATAAAAAAAAAGAATCGGGTGCATCCCTGTGTGCGTATGTGTGCGTGCACATGTGTGGTGCTGAACCCACGTGCAGCACCGACTGAAGACAAAAACTCAGAATAAGCTGAGAGTAAAGGGACTTCGCGCTGCAGGAGACGCACACGGGATTGAATTAACAGGAAACAGTGGATTCGGAACCCAGGGCCTTTGCACTGCACTACATCTCCAACCCTTTTTATTTTGAGACACGGTCTCAGTAAACCACTACTTTTCCCAGGCTGGGTTCAAATCTACAATCCCCCTGCCTCAGCTGCCCAGAGTGCTGGGAGGATAGGCAGGTACCGCCATGCCTGGCTTTGGTTTTGATTTAAAGAAAATGCTTCTAGGGCTGGGGATTTAGCTCAGTGGTTCTGCCACCTGCCTCACAAGTGCAAGGTCTGGAGTTTGATTGCCGGTCCAGAGAGAGAGAGAGAGAGAGAGAGAGAGAGGGAGAGGGAGAGAAAGAAAGAAAAAAGAATGAGAGTTTAACAAGCTGGTTGGACATAATGAGGATCATTTAACAGGCCACCAGTAGGCCTCTATGCCACTCATAAATATTTAGAAAATGTATTTTTGTTAAGGTATGTCATTTACAACAGCAACAGAAAGTTCAAAATACTCAGAAGTATGTAAAATGAAAGATGTGCAAAAAGTG